AACCCTGGGCCCCCTCAGGTAACCCTGGGCCCCCTCAGGAAACCCTGGACCCCCTCAGGTAACCCTGGGCCCCCTCAGGTAACCCTGGGCCCCCTCATGTAACCCTGGGCCCTCTCAGGTAACCCTGGGCCCCCTCAGTTAACCCTGGGTGCCCTCAGGTAACCCTGGACCCCCTTAGGTAACCCTGGACCCCCTCAGCTAACCCTGGGCCCCCTCAGGTAACCTTGGACCCCCTAAGGCAACCCTGGGCCCCCTCAGGTAACCCTGGACCCCCTCAGGTAACTCTGGGCCCCCTCAGTTAACCCTGGACCCCCTCAGGTAACCCTGGGCCCCCTCAGGTAACCCTGGGCCCTCTCAGGTAACCCTGGGCCCTCTCAGGGAACCCCCAGCCCCTCAGGTGGGGCTGGCACTCTCACTCCCAATGTCTCAGAGATTGGGTGAGACATGTCCTGGGTCTGTGAGCAGTGGTCAGTGGGTCTGGACGCAGACTGTCCAGCTGGGATTTCTCCTCCCCTTTGAGCTGCTAGCCCCCCACTGTTTCTTGTCAATGGGAAGGGAGGATGGTCTCAGAAGCTGACCCCTATTTGAAGCATTTGGCCTCAGGTTTCTGGGAGGCTCTGGGGACCTCCAACCCTGGCTCTGCTGGAGTCGCCAGGGTGGCTGGCAGCAGAGCTTGGAACTGGTTCCTCTGAGCCAATGTACTCTTTGGCTTGCTGTCCATCTTGGGTGCAGGGCAGCGGAGCCCCCCAACTTCCTGGCATTCTTCGAGGGCAGCGCCGTGGGGAGGAAGAAGCCAGCCAGCCTGGGCTGTACCCCGAGTGAGCAGGGAGCCACGTGGCACGCCCTGGTAATGCCCCACTCAGCTCTCCCTGCTTCCGTGAGGGGTGCGGGGCCCAGGGCAGGACTGCCACTCTTCTGCCTCATCTTTGGTGCCGTTGTCACCATAACAGACACTGTCAGGAGGGTTACGGAAGTTTCCCGATACCTGTCTCGGGGGAGGAAAGTCGGGCACCCCCCTCCCCCCACCCCCACATTGTGGGTCCCATGTTGTTGGTGAGAAGGCATGAGAGGCCCTGAATGGGCAGCCTGCTCCCCATGACAACATGTGCGGCAGGGCTGGAGGCTGAGGGCCTTCGTGTGCACAGGATGACCAGCCCCGTGAGTTGGCCCTGGCACCTGGCACCCAGAACCCTACCTCTCCTGAGCCGCCCACCAGCCTGAGGAGGAGGGAGTGTTCTGTAACCCTGGCTCCTACCTTCACGGCCAACAACAGGTATGGCTGCTGAGCAGACACGGTGCTTGGAGTGAACGAGTGAATGAATGAATAAATAGCTTTCCTTACCACAGGGTAAGGGGGCCCAGGTGCTGTTTAAGGATAGGTGACTCTCAGGCTTGGGGGGCTCAGATGGTGACCCCCAGGCTTCCTTTTTATCCCCCAGACTGTCCTGCCTTCTCTCCAGAGGCCCAAGTCTTGTATCCTTGGTGCTGAAGTTTCAGGCTTGTGTGGGGACACATGTGCCTTTCGAGGCTCATAGAATGTTCTGGAGCTTCCAGACCCAGCCTCTCTAGTTTCTGGAGGGAGAGTTGCTGTGTGAGGTGGAGCTCAGAGCCAGCTCCCCCAGGACACAGGCCAAATCGCAGCCGGCTTGGGAGGGCGTCAGCATGGCCACAGAGGCTGGGGTGGAGGCAAAAGGAACGAGAGGGAACCTAGCTTGTCCTTCTGCTCCAAGGCTCCTGAGAGCAGGACAGGAAAGGACAAGGTTATGCTCCACCTTTTCAGGTGGTCTGCTCTTGCCTGGTAATGAAAAGGTTGGCAGTTCCAACCCATCCATTGGCACCGCAGAACCAGGCCTGAAGATTATAGCTAACCCTACTCCAGAGCCAGCGGGGTTTCTCCAAACGAACATGTAAATTGAAAACGGGAATCCTCCATGACACTTCCCAACACCTAGAGCTGCCGCCAAAGGCTCGATCTCCCTAGAGGAAGTCCACACCAGCCTTACCAGGCTGGGCCCCGGAAGAGCGGTTGCTTTTTAGTTCGAGAGTTTAACTGAAATTTGACAAGCCACACATGGTTAATGAGTCCACAAATTCACAAACTTACCACGAAAAGGAGTCAGCCTGCTGCCTTGTCCTGAGCCCATTTTAAGCTATTTGTTTGCGCCCACCCAGCACCTTGAGTTGTTGGTTGTCTCTCTGCAGAAGCAACAAGGGAGCCGTGGGCAATTGTGTCACCGCCATGGTGCATAACCACTGCCCACCAGCCGAGAAGGCACCCCCACCCAAGAGCTCCAACCACACAGCCCTATGCCTCAAGTAAGCCGCCCCAGGCCTCGTACCCGTGTGTGCTGTGGGTTTCCTGAGGGACTGGGGTCTTCGTGGGTGCTCAGGGGCTGCCAGCTGAGTCTTAAGCAGGGAGGGGCCACGGAGCACGACATGGTCAGGCTGTTCAGAGGACAGTCCAGTGTGTCCTGCCCACCTCCTTGGCATGTCAGAACTGGGGAGGCCCACAAGTCTACTGCGTTCCAGTCGGGCTCTGGAATCCTGTGGCTTTGGAGAGCTTCTTGTTTTCCCGGGTGTGAAGAGCTCTCTCACCTAGGGTGCTCCTGGGGGGGACCCATTAGAGTGTCAGTGGCCCCAGATCATAAGCTGAGTGCTCTCGGCCCCCTGCCAGCTCACAGCAACACTCATTCCGTGGGGACGTTGTGTGGCCCTGTGTGTGGCCCTAAGTCTGGCCCCATGTCCACCCTTGTCTGTCAGCAACATCATCAAGGCAGCCACGGACGAGGGCACTGCCGAGGGCAACGGCTTAGGGAAACCCCAGAAGAACGTTCTCAGTAGCAGCCACGCGTCCCGGAACCACGGTGCAGGGCCGCTCAGGAAGGAGGTGACAGAGGAGGAGGCTGAAAGGTGACTCGGGGTGCTGTGCTGGGGCCTCAGACCCCCAAGGACAAAGCCAAAAAGCTAGTCATTGGTCAGTTGACCCCAATCTGTGGCCCCCCTATGAGTCATGGTACAGCTCTGCTCAGAGGTTTCCAACGGTTGAATGTTATAAGTGGAATATTTTTGTGCTAGCATACTGGGTACGAATCAGGCTGCGAACCTCAGGGTCAGCAGTTCGAAACTACCAGCCGCTCCGCGGGAGAAAGATGAGGCTTTTTGCTCCCGCCTCGGAAACCCTGTACAGGGTCGCTATGGGTCGGATCCGACTCCACGGCACATAACAACAAAGTGCATGTTTTAGTTTTTCTGCAGGCCGCACCACCCCCTGCCCATAAGCCTCCTGTTTGTGTGTGTTTCACACAAGTGCACTTTCTGCAGAAACAAGGAGGCTGCCAGCCCTTTCTTCCGAGTGTCTCTCAGTAGACTCGAACTTGCAGCCTTTTGGTTAGCAGCTACATGTGTTCACTATGTACCACCAGATTCTCCTGACCAGAAAAGCCCTTGTGTGACACCCACCGGCTGGGTGTCTGGTTGGTTCCGTGTAAAGCCGTCCCAGGCTCCCTCCACCTGGCCCTGAGCCCACTCTCCCACAGGTTTATTCACCAGGTAAACCAAGCAGCCGTCACCATCCAACGCTGGTACCGCCACCAGGTGCAGCGGCGCCGAGCCGGAGCAGCCAGCCTGGAGCACCTGCTAATGTCCAAGCGAGAGGTAGTTCTGGGCTCAGCCCAGGCTTGGTGGGAGAAGGGACTCTGAGCCCATGTGGGCAGTGGCTGGATGGAAGCCGTTTGTTCCCTGCCGTTGGACCCCAGTTTCTGGGCTTGGAGTCTGCAGGTCTTGGGTGTTGGGGGTCCCAGGAGGAAGTTCTGTGAAGCTATCCTCTGGTCACTCAGGTCAAATGGCCACCTAGCAGCCTCTTCTGCGGAGGTGGTGACCCAGCCTCATGCCTGTCCTGGAGGAGCCAGGGACATCTCCTGTGGGAGGGAGGGTCCTGACCCCCAAGGCACAGTTTGCAGACTGTAGTGGACCCTGTCAGGGAAGATTTGGGGTCCTGATGGGGGTCCACAGACACCAGGGTCCCAGGACACTGGAACCTCTCGCAGGAACAGCGGCAGCAGCAGGCGGAAGGGAACATTCTGGAACTGCACCAGCAGAAGTTGGCGGCGAGAAGGAAAGCCCGAGAGGAGAAGGCGCGCCAGGCCAGGCGGGCAGCTGTCCAGGTGCTGGGGGCCTGCAGGTGCCCAGGGTGCCCCTGCCACTCCTCCCCTGACGGCCCCCCTTCTGTGCGGGGCAGCTGTTCAGAGATGCGCCCCTCACACACACCAGGAGCTGCAGCAGAGACGTGCCCAGAAGTCCACTGAGGCTGAAGTTGTCCCACCTCAGGAACCCCGAGGGGTGGGGAGGCCTGGGTCTGCCCAGGAACCACTCCTGACATCAGGGACCAATGCCCGCCAAGCCCCCAAGGCCAACAACACAGGTGAGCATCCATCCGCCACGTACCTCATAAGACTCCACCTGCCCTCTGCCGCCTGCACCCTGCGTTCACCTCAGCCATGCCGTCTTCCCCAGAGAGTAGTGCCCTGCTTGTCTGCAGACTCCCAGCCCCTCCTCCTCACCTGTCCACTTGTTCTGAAGCTGTATGTGACCCTGAAAGCCAGGGAGAGCCCTACCCTGTCCCCCGGACCCCACACATTGCCCTCCAAAGCCGGGTACCATGGCCCCGTGTGACTCTGTGCTCTCTTGTGCAGGCCCCGAGCAGCCTGGTCCACTGGCCCCCGGCCTGACCCTGGAGCCGTGTCCCTCTCAGGAGGACATCCTGCAGGTCTTGCAGCAACTTTCCCGCCTGACTTTGGTTGTGCAGCATGTCCATTCCAGGGTGGCCTAGAGGACACCCCCACCCAACCCCAGAGTCTGGTCACTCAGATCAAATGGCCACCTAGCAGCCTCTTCTGCAGAGGTGGTGACCCAGCCTCATGCCTGTCCTGGAGGGGCCAGGGACATCTCCTGTGGGAGGGAGGGTCCTGACCCCCAAGGCATAGTTTGCAGCCTGTAGTGGTCCCGGGCCCCTCTTGGCTGCTCAGCTACGGAAGGGAGACCACTCGCCCACTGAAGACCTTACTGGCGTCTCCCTGTCTGCTACCCCTGCAGGACACCCATGCCCAGGACGTGACCATTGAGACCCTGGAAACAGGCCCCACCAAACCTAGGGTGACCCTCAGCGAGCTGCTGGACACACTGCAGCTACTGGAGGCGGCGCCCGAGCCACTGCCCCAGCCCCCACCCTACCTTAAGGAGAAGTACGCTTGGATTGACGAGGTGACCGGAGTGCTCGGGGGTCCCGCACCTCCCTGCCTCAGTGGGCCTGATGGCCAGGACATCCTTGGCCTTCTCTGTGGTCCCTTGTCTGTCCAGCTCTCCCTCCTGTTAGCACATTCAAATGGACCCCAAGGAGGGAGGGGGACATCCTCAGGCAAGGCAACCAGGGTCTGGGCACTGGAGGGAAGGCCTGTGTACCAGCTGGTCCCCCCTTAGGAGGACACCACCAGCTCCCTGACTGCAGACAACCTGGAGAGGCTGGGGCAGCTTAGCTCTGGTGCCCCCGACGATGGCACGTTGCTCTCAGAGGCCAAGCTGAACAGCATCCTGACTTTCCTGGAGGAGATGGAGCCGTCGGCACGGGAGCGGCCTGCCCCGGGCCCCCAGCGGGAGGTGCGCCGATACCAGGTAGCTCCCGGCATGCACCCCAGGAGACTGCACCCCGAGAAGCCCACGTTGGGCAGCGAGTCCTGAAATAAGAGGCCAGCACCTTTGACCTTGGCTGGCCCATTCACTTGAACGTTAGAGGCACTGCTGGGTGGCTGTGTCCTAGGTGTCCCTGTGACCTGTGGGCATGCCTGCCTGACTTCCCTGCAGGGGCCGGTGCTGGGGGCAGAGCTGGCCGGCCTGGAGTGTTCATCCTCAGGGACCACAGCCGTCATGCGACTGCAGCTAGAGGTGGAGGAGAAGCGGCAGGCCGTGGAGCTGCTACAGCGGGCACTGGTACTGTGGACACTGGGGCTGTGGGCTGGGATGTGGGGACCACTGTGCCCTGGAGGGAGGAGAATGCTGAACCTTAAGGTTGCGGGGTGGACACTGTGCCCCGAAGATCAGTCATCCCAGCCTGCTCCCAGGGTGCTGACCACCAGGGGAACAGAGCATGGGCTCTGGTCTAGACACAGGCCTGGCCAGCGGGGCCACTGGGGCTCCTAGTGCCTGGCCTCCCTGGTGGCCTGCAGACCTCCCCGCACTGCCCCCCACAGATGCAGCAGCGGTCCTTCACAGCGCGGCGGGTCGAGGAAGCAGAGAGGGAGTTGAGTCGCCAGCTGCGGCAGCAAAAGAAACATTACGAGGCCACCATCCAGCGGCACCTGGCCTTCATTGACCAGGTGAGTCTGCACTTGGGCCCCGGCCAGGCCAGTACCCATCCAGCCCCCTCAGGCAGGTCAGCACCCATCCGGCCCCCTCAGCCAGGCCAGCACCCATCTGGCCCCCTCAGGCAGGTCAGCGCCCATCCAGCACCCTCAGGCAGGTCAGCACCTATCCAGCCCCCTCAGCCAGGCCAGCTCCCCACATGGAGGTGGGGATGCAGAGCTCAGTGGGTACTCGAGGTGGGGTCCGTGTTAGTACTGCCCCTCCCAGAGCTTTCTGGTGTTCCCTGACCCAGCTATCGGGGAGGCTGAGGGTCTGGAGAGGGTGTAGGCCTGTCTGTGTTCCCCACCTGCCCTCACTCATCTGTCCCCACACCAGCCCGGTGTCTGTCCATAGGCCAACAGCAGGTCCTCTCTGGGGTACTAGCCTTTCAGCAGAGTGAAGTCAGGGTCCCCAGGTGGTGGGAGGAGGTGTAATGGGGGATGGTCCTCAGTACAGCCACATCACCCCCACCCTACCCCACAGCTCATCGAGGACAAGAAGGCCCTGAGCGACAAGTGTGAGGCTGTGCTGGCTGAACTGCGGCAGGGTGACCACAGGTGGAAGGAGAGAGCAGCCCAGATGCAGACGCAGCATCAGCTGGTGGGTCCCCACCCCACCCCTGCCTCACCTGGTGCCCTCAGACTCCCTCCACACCCTCCCACCCAGCCAGCCTGCGACCCCCCACCTCAGTATCTTCCCCGCTCTGCTCTACCCCTGGCCAGTCAGGGACCCACCTCCCTTCTGCTTTTCTGGGGTGACTGACCATAAGGCTTACTTCCTGGGGCTGTGGGGGCTCAGCCTGGCTGCATCTGCCCTGAGATCACCCCAGAACCCAGGAGCAAACAGACTCGAGGCTTAGTGCCCTCGCTCCTGCCATCTGGTGTCGGAGGGCACAGTGGGCAGGCTCTCTGCTGACTCCAGGACTCAACAGTGGCTCAGGGGTCTGGGGGCCTGGGTCATGTGGGACTTTCCTAGGTACCCTGGCAGCGCAGAGTCTCCCAGAGTCAGGGGTAGTGAGAGATTAGGGTTCTGTCAGCCCCCTCCCTCTCCATACCAGGAGCTCAAGAAGCTGAAAGAATTGATGAGCGCCACCGAGAAAGTCCGCCGGGAGAAGTGGATCAATGAGAAGACCAAGAAAATCAAGGAGGTCACTGTCAGGGGTAAGGAGAGGACAGGGCGTCCACCTACCCCACCCCCTGTGAGAGAGAGCCAGATTCCCCACCCCCACCCCCACCAGGAGAAGGAGCCAGACCCCCCCCCACTTCGAAAAGGAACCAGACCTCATACCCCCCCTACCCTAAGAGTGAGACAGACACCCCCACCCCCACCTCCACCCCAAAGAATCAAACTGCCCACCCCCTCCCTGAGAAGGAGCCAGACCCCCCACCCTGGGAGGGAACCAGACCCCCCACTTTGAGAAGGAGCTAGACTCCCAACTGAACCCCAAGAAGGAGCCAGATGCCCCACCCCATCCCCACCCTGTCCCGACCTGGTGAAGGAGCCATACCCTCCCTCTCAGAGGCCCTGACCTAGACACTGTTCAGTCTTCTGCCCCTTCCTGGAGGTGACCAGCTGGCCTAACCAGCCCTCTAAGCATATCTGACCACTAATGGGCATCTGGAAAGTGTGGCCCCAGTGCACTGGAAAACAGGCTTGGGGGGCCTGGGCCCAAGTGGTGCAGAGGTTCCAGGAGAGCTAGCCTGGGTGGATGCTGGGCGGGTCTCAGAACCAGGGTCTTAGGACACAATGGCCTGCCTGCCCCTGGACAACCCCCTCTTTGGTGACTCCCCTTCTAAGAAAGCCTGGGCTCCCTCAGGACCCCAGTGGTGACTCAAGAGGTCCAGTCCTCCAGAGCCAGCGGCCATGGCTAGGCCACAGCACGTGCCTCGCCCACCTGCACACTCAGCTACTTGCTGTGTTGGGGGCAGGAATCCACAGATAGACTGGGTCCCAGCTGGGGTATCAGAGAGGTGGTTTAGATGGGAGAGTCTTTATATCGTGGCCTGGGCGGAGTATGGGGTTTGGATTCCAGGAGGACCGGCGGCAGAATGGGGTGAGGCAGGAGGCCTGGGTGTGGGTACAGTGTGGGGTGAGGCTGGTCCCGACCAGGTCTCTGCAGCACCCCCACCCCGCCCCAGGCCTGGAGCCCGAGATTCAGAAGCTGATCGCCCAGCACAAACAGGAGGTCAAGAAGCTCAAGAAGCTACACGAGGCTGAGCTCCTACAGGCAGATGCTCAGGCCGCTCAGCGCTTTGCGTGCCAGGCTGAGGAACTGCGGGCACGCCTGGAGCAGGAGAAGGAAGCCCTGGGGCAGCGGGAACGGGAGCTGGCCCGGCAGCAGTGCGTCCACCCTGCTCTGTGCTGGGAGGGCTGGCCATGGGTGATGTTTTCCAGGAACTGCCCACCCCAGAGGGCCTGGTGGGAGCTGAGGGTTGGGGGCACAGCCTCCGCAGGAGGTCCGTTGCAGGCTCATCACCCTTGGCAGTAACTCTGCCCTTGGGTGGAGCTGTACCTGCAGACTAGGAGCTGATGCTGGGCGTGTTTGTGCCTACACCTTCTGTAGCGAGTGCACTGCTCTGCGGTCAGGCCCGGGAGGGACAAGGGGAGAACATTGGTGAGTTCCATCCCCACCCGATTCCTGCAGGGTCGCGCAGCACTTGGAACAGGAGCAGCAGACGTTGGAACTGCAGCGGCGTAGGCTCCACAGTGAAGTAGCTGAGGAGAGGGAGCGGCTGGACCAGCAGGCAGCCAGGTGCCCCTTGCCCAGCCTGGGCTGGGTGGGGAGGAGCCTGCCTTGGCCATACCACGCTGACCGCCCCACCCACAGGCAGCGCGCCGAGCTGGTGGCACTGAGGCAGCAGCTGGAGGAGAGTGGAGCCGCAGCGGGCCGTGCCCTGCGTGCCGAGTGTGAGAAGGCAGCTGAAGAGCAGGAGCGCCGGCACCAGGTGTCCCCTTAGGTCCCCCCACACCAGCATGCAGCACGGATGGCCAACAGGCCCTGGGGGTGGCTGTGCAGGGCATGCACTCACACACCATCCCCTGATCCCAGGCGGAGCTTCGGACCCTGAAGGAACAGCTGGAGGCAGAACGACAAATGTGGGAGACCAGCTACACCAAGAAGGAGGTGGGAGGAAGTGGGGACCCGGGGCCAGTTACAGCAAGGGTGGGGCCGGGGGGCTGTTTTCTAAGCAAACGTGTGGGCACACTGTGTCCAGATGGCTCTGTCCTGTGGCTCCTGAAGAGTTAGAGGCTCGGAAACAGCGCGTACAGCAGGAAGGGGTCTGTGACCACACAGTTAGTTACTCCTGCTCGTCAGGGACCCCCACCCCAGGCTGTGGAAGATGAAGAATTAATGTCCCCATGCTACAAAAAGTCCTCAGTCCCTTCTGAGAAGTGGGAACCACTCTACCCTTCTCACACCCTCTGGAAGGAGTCTGTAGAAGCCCCCTCACCCCCCACCACCTCCAGTGCCCTACTGCCCACTGTCCACTTGACTGACCTGGGCTGGTCACCTTGGGGTGTTTTGTTTTTCAATTTTATTTTGCTCTTGTTGAGATGCTACGTAAGAAAACAGACAGGAATTCCTCAGCGTCTGCATGCACACTTGAGCAGCTTTGATGTTCTCCAAGCTTTGCAAACAGTCTGAGCTTCCTTTTTGAGTTATGCTTCCCCCACGAGCATACACTCACTGCCCCTAAGGTTCCTGTCTAACACTTCCCGTCTGCAAACGCTCCTGAGGGGCTGCACATCTATGTGGTCCACATGGACACGCAGCTGGCCTTCTGCAGGGTCAATTTCTAACCCAGGGTGCTGGGCAGAGGACTTGCGCAGGTGGGATTTTGAGGACTGTTCCCAAATTGCCTTCCCAAGAGCTAGTCCCCACTTAGAGTCTTCCTTTCTGCCCCAGGGTACCTGCTTGTGCCAGCAAGGGCCAGTCTGGCAGGTAGCCGGTGGCATTACAATGCCCAGGGCTGTGTGTACCCAAGTGTGAGTGAGTGTCTGGCTGCCCTGCCCAGTGTCCACCCGGGTTCCTTCCGTGTCCCACGCTGGGTCTCAGCATGAGGACAGGGCCTTTGGCTCCATGACCCCTTTGGATCCTCCAAGTGACCCTGGCCCCTGTCCTCCTTCGTGCCTTGTCCTGCACGGCAAGCCCAGTGGCCTGTCCCACAGTCTCCCGTGCACACCCCCAGGAAGCATGGTTGTTGGCCCGGGAGCAAGAGCTGAAGGAGGAGATCCGGAAAGGCCGGGACAAGGACATCGAGCTCGTCATCCAGAGGCTTGAGGCTGACATGACCCAGGCCCGGGAGGAGGTGGAACGGGCCGCTGAGAATCGGTAAGGCCAGGGCGTGGAGCGGGTTGGTGAGGGGCACATGGCCGCCAGGTAGGTGGGGCCACCACCCCAGCACTGAGCTGCTCCCCAGAGTCCAGCGTCTACGTGGCAAGTTTGAAGCTGAGCTGCAGGAGCTGGAGAAGTCGGAGCGGCGGCTTCAGGAGCGGTGCTCGGAGCTGAAGGGCCGCCTCGGGGAGGCCGAGGGGGAGGCCGTGAGACTCCTGGGACTGCTGAGGCACAAGGAGCAGGCGCTGGAGGATGCTCGGGCGGTGAGCCGGAAGCCCCCCAGCCCTACCCCACCGCCCCCAGCCCCCCAGCCCCAGCTCCAGCTCACGGGCTCCCTCCCTCCCCAGGTGAACGAGCAGCTGACGGCTCAGCAGGGCAGCCAGGGGGCCCAGCAAGAGCTGGCTGCCACAGAGGGGGAGAACCGGCGGCTCAGGGCAGAGCTGGAACGCCTCTCTCGGGAGAAGCAGGAGGAGCTAGGAGAGGTGCATCGTAGGTAAGGGGGTGCATCATGGGGGCCGTGGAAGAGGGCTGTGCATGGGGGACGAGGGCCATGCATGGGGGACGGGGCAATGCCCCTGCGTGAGAGAAAAGCAGGCTTCATGCAGGGAACACAGACTTGGGGGGCCTGTGGGGTCCTGGGACCTGGGCTGGGAGCCAGGTGGGTCCTGGTGCCACAGGTGAACTCTTAACTGGAGGCTGGCTCTGGGGCAGTGCCTGGGGCATCTATAGCGTCTCAGAAGGCCCAGTGTGTGGTCAGCAGGGCTGGGAAAGGCAGCAGGTCAGCTGCCCTGAGTGAGGTGCCACCCACAGCCATGGAGTCTCCCACCCCACCTCCTTCCCTGATGAATGCAGAGGTCAAGGTGGGGGCACAGGGTCAGCCCACTGAAGCCCACTGCCCATTTGCCCACAGGGTGAAACTAGCTCTGGCTAGAAAGGAGGAGGCGGTAAGCACCCTCCGAAAGCAGCATGAGGTACGTCCCTGGGGACGGGGTGCCCGAGAAGGGACTGGGAGTCGGGGGACCAGGCCTGAAGGCATCTTGTGTCGTAGGCCGCAGTGAAGCGGGCAGACCACCTGGAGGAGCTGTTGGGGCAGCGAAGACCACCGGCCCTGACCTCCAAGTGAGCTTCCCTGTGTGCACACCTGCGGCCCCTGGGAGCCAGCCCCAGCCCACCTACCCTGGGGGACTTCTAGCTGTATTTTAACAGTAAAAGGCCCTTGTTTTGTAACTGTGCAGACCCTGTGTTTGAGTCTCTGGGGGCGTTGGGGGGGGTGGCCACACATTGACAGAGGCCCTCCTCCCTCCCCTCCCCGTCTCCCAGCTGCCATAGGCAGCCTCATTCAAGCCCAACCCAGCCCCCAGTCCCCACCTCCAGGGCCCTGAGCAGAGAGAAGGCCCTTTGTTCCTGGGCTCCCAGAGCTCCAGCACTCCCCTCCCTCCTCCTCCTCCTCCTCTTCCCTCCCCTCCTCCCACATCTTCTACCCCCCATCTTCCCCCCTCTCCTGTCCCTGAGCTCAGGGCCTTCCGGTTGCTCATTATCTACTGACCAGGATGAGTAGGCAGTCCTCCAAGACCCCCGTCCAGAGCCACAAAGCAGGACCTCTGGAGAGGCCTGCTCACCATGGACCCTGCCAGTCCACGGAGGTGCCAGGCGGGGCAGCGCTCTGGAGGGCAGTGGCTAGGGTCCCTAGGGCAAACCCCTCCTCTTGGGCACCCAGCCTAGAGCTGATTCCAGCTCACCATCCAGGGCTTTGCTCACGGCAGCCCCTTTTCTCTGGGGTCTGGGAGGCAAGGGGCAGGATGGAGTCAGCCATGGTCCAAGGGCATCTACTGGAGAGCTGGGACTCTGGACAGATGGACAAGGAGGCACGAGGTCTTGGAGTTAGGTGAAAACCGGGCTCTAGGAGCTGGTGACTTGAGCAGACCTCTCACCCTCACCTGGGTCTCGCCCTTCGCAGATGGGCAGGAGCCCCTGAGGCAGTGGCCAGGGCGAGATGCGGGCAACCCCATGTGGACTGGCTATTTACCGAACCTGCTCAAAGTTGCCACCCGACTGGGAGTTTTCTCTCAGCCTCACAGTAGGCGTGGACAGCCCCTGCCTGACCGCTGGCCCCGGGTCTCCAGGCTGACCCCCACCTGATGAGGATGGGTGGGGAGAAGGCCTCAGAGCGCTCAGTGTGGTGAGGAGGGGTTCTGGCTCACTGGGAACACTGGGCAGGCTCCTTGACAACCCAGGGCTCCCCTGCCCTCAGCGGCCTAGGCTGTACCCTAGAGACCGGAGGGGCTCAGGGAGGGCAGGTCCCCATAGCTGAGGTCATGGAAGGAGCTGGCTGCTCGTCTGTGGGGCAGGGGACCAAAGGCAGTGAGCCCAATTTCCTGTTCTGGCCAAATGGGATGTTCTGACCAGAAAAACCAGTACTGCCGTGCAACGTCCGGAGGGACTGGGAGACAGCGGCTGGGCTTCTGAGCAGGGCAGAGGGTGTCGTCACCACCAGGAAAGCCCACTGATCCTGGGGGTGACTCTGCAGGGAGGGGAGGGGTCCCTGAGCCCAGTTCCTGGCTGACGGTTTCCCCTTCATTCATTCGCACTCCACACACTCATTCATTCACAGGGACTTCCTGAGCACCTGCTGTGTGCTGGTCACTCCTCCCACTGCTCCACACACCCCTCAGGTGCTTGGGCCTCCATTACTCAAGTTAGTTCTCACAGACTACAGTTGACCCCATTTGTCTTTGGCATCAAGGGCTCAGGGCTTCTTCATCAGTTCCCGGTTCTCCGACCCACGTACTACAGCTCCGGCTACAGCTCCGGCCGTGACTAGGGCTGGGCCGGGCTGATGGGGTGCCCTGTGGCCTTCCCTGGGGGGCTGGGACAGCCAGCGTGGCACTGTACTCTGAGGTGGGCTGTTAGGCCCTGCCTCCCCAGGTCACAGCTGTTGCCCCTCACCTTCTGATGCAGGTGGTTAGAGAGCCGACAGGTGAGAGGAAAGGCCGTGACCCACTGAGTGGGAGGCCACCATCAGGGAACCCAACCCAGTGATTCTCAAATGCCTCTTCCTCATCCTAGGAGTCTTGGTGGTAAAGTGCTTTAGATGTACGGCTGTTAACCAAAAGGTCAGCGGACTGAACCATCAGCTGCTCTGTGGGAGACAGATGCCACAGTCTGCTTCTGAACCCTATGGGGCGTTTCTACTGTAGGGGTCACTGGGAGTCAGAATGGTCAGCTGTGGGTGGCTGGGGTCAGATGGACCCTGGATAGGACAATGTTCCCAGGGGACCCAGCACCCTGGCCAGCCTGGGCGGGGCTGTACATGCATTCTGCCTGGGACCCATTCATTCAACCCCTCCTGGGCTTTATCCTCCTCCCGATAAAAGGTGCTTGGTTAGGGTTGTTTTTGACAGGTGACATTGTGAGTTTCTGTTCTACCAGGAGGGCATATCCTCCCCCCGAGACAGTGGCACCCAGGAAACGGGCCCCTCTCAGTGCAGGATGGGTACTGAACAAACAGACCAAACACCTCGCTCTTGTAGCATGGGAGACAGACAATCAATGAATGTAACACATCAGGGCTCCCTTCCCTTTCCTTTCTTTGGGTTTAGTTTTTCTTTCTAAGTTTTTATAGAGTCCTGGTGTGGCGCTGTGGGTTAATGCTGCTTGAACTGCAAGGTTGGTGGTTGGTGGTTCGAGCTCACCTGCTGCTCCTTGGAACCCTATACAGGGTCGCTATGGGTTTGGAACTAACTCGACGGCACTTAAAAACAACAACAAAAAGGGTGCTCAGATTGCCAGCACTTTCCCCTTAGAAACATCTGTATTTAAGGCTATGGAATTCCCTCCAAGCTGCACCCCACAAGTTCAGCACCCCACAAATTTCGGTCCATTGCATTTTCATTATTCTTAGGTTCAAGTTATTTTCTGATTCCCATAGGTTGCTTAGATCTGCATTGCTTCTTTTTGGTTTGGATTTTTAATGTAAATCCACTGCATTCTAAACCCTGGTGTGGCGCTGTAGGATAAGCACTGGACTGGTTAGGGTTAGGGTCCTCAAGGTCAGCAGTTCAAACCCACCAGCTGCTCTCAGAAACCCTATATAGTGTCGCTATAAGTCAGAACCTACTCATATTACAATAACAACAGTCACTACTATATTCTGGGTCAGAGAATATATTCTATATTGTTTTAATCCTTTGATTTGACTGAAAATTGCTTGATGAACCAAAATTGGTCAGTTTTAGTAAATGCTCCAACATGTGTTTTATATGAGTTCTGTATAGTCATTGAACTCTTGGGGTGGCGTTGTAGGATCAGCACTGGACTGGTAACCTCAAGGTGGTCGGTTCAAACCCACTAGCTGCTCCTCGGAAACGGGAACCTACTTGACGGCATTTACCAACAACAGATATGCTTCTGAGTTAATCCACTACAGTTTTCAAATCTTCTATATTGGATCAGCACCGGACTATGTGAACCCTGAGGTTGGCAGTTCAAACCCACCAGCCGCTCCTCAGAAACCCTTTTTTGTTGTTGTTAAGTGCCTTCGAGTCGGTCCCGACCCATAGCGACCCTGTACAGGGTTTCCGAGGGTGTAAATCCTTACGGGAGTAGAAAGCCTCATCTTTCTCCCGCGGAGCGGCTGGTAGTTTCGAACCACTGACCTTAAGGTTCGCAGCCCGATTCGTAACCACTCTGTACAGGGTCGCTATGGGTCGGAACCGACTCGACGGCACTCAACAACAACAACAACAACAATGCTACCCTTTAGAGGGTCGCTATGAGTCAGAACCGACTCGAGGGCACTTCACAACAACATCCTTTAAGAGCGCTGATGCTGCCGTGGATTCGGTGCTGGACTGCTAAGCAGAAGTTTAGTGGTTTAGATCCATCAGCAGCTCCTTGGGAGAAAGAGGATGAAGGCTATGGAACCTTCTGCTCTGTCCTAGAGGGTCGCTGAGTGAGAATCAGCTGGGTGGCAGTGGGTTTTTTTATCTTCACTGATCTTCTTCCTCCTGCCATCTGTCATCTGGAGTTACTTAGAGAGGAATGTGCAGGCCTCTGGCCGTGATTACCCCTGGCCTTTCCATTGTAGCTTGCTCCTTTTTGTGTGACACATTTGGAGACTTTGTGACTAGGTGCATACACATTTGAAATTGCGGGTTGACACTTTTATCATGGAATGTCCCTCTGGACTTCTGGCTGCAATGCTTGCTTAGATCTGGTATGTTTTCTATTACCAGTTTCTACTTAGTGTTAGTGGGCGTCCGGTGCCCTTTGCTTGCAGCCTTTTAATGGAATTGCAGAATGGAAGCAGAGCGCTGTACTATAGCAGTGGACTGGTAGCTGCAAGGGCGGCGGCGGTTCAAAGCTACTAGCCACTCTTGGAAGCCCTACCCAGGGTCACTGTGAGTTGGAACAGACCCAAGAGCACACAGCGACAACTGTGTGGAAACAAGGGGAGAACGCTGTGGCCCTCTGTTTCCATAGAGATGACAGCTCGGAAACTCTATGGGACGGTTCTACTGTGTCCTACAGGGTCACTGTGACTAGTATTAAACAACACAATCTTGTGATTTCCCTGGAGAGCAGCCACAGACAAGATGAGAATGAACGGGCCTAAGTGTGGTCTCGCTCAGTCTGTAGTTTGCTGAGCTCACCCGGAAGTCTTACTTTTGCTCACGGCAGGCAGTTCGGGTAGGGACGGGGCCGAGCCACTGGGATGCTGGGCTCCAGTCTCTGGGAGGACCTGTCCTCACTCTGTGTGAGCCCTTAGGAGCTGCAGCCAAAGCCCTGGATGAGGCTTCACTGACCCAGACGGCCTCCTCAGCTGCCCAGACTCCCCCATCATTGACCTCTGGGGCCTCTCCCAACCCCTCCTGTCCTGCTGCTAAATAAAGCTGGCATGTAAGTGACCATCCGTGTGTTGGTCAGTGGTGAGCGCTACTGGTCAGGGAGGGCTGCACATAGTTAGAACCTCACTGAGACCAGGCAATTCGTCCAAGGCCTTCCGGCAGGGGTGTGTCTGGCTGTGTGTGACTGGAGCAGAGTGGGGTCTGAGGTCAGCTCCTGGGGACCCTCCGGAGCCTCTGAGTGCAAGCCCCCTGGCTGCTGTGCTGAAACTGAGCTGTC